TCCACCTTTCCCCTTCATATTTATGGAGGTCACAAAATTGTTGGAAAATATTCTAAATTTTCATAGATAAGAGAACTGATATTAATTGTGCGAGAACTAATATTAATTTTTTTTTTTTATTTAAATTGAACTCATTATCAAACAATTTTTTTGCTAAATAGTTTAATCCTTAAAATTCCTGAATAATTAAAAATTATTACGATTACCTCAGCATTTTAAAGATATTCCATCAATTGCAATTGATTCACCTAAAAAAAAACAATAAATAAAGCTAATATTATTGTTTGAAATTTTAATTATCTTTATACAAATACTCATCATATTTTTAAAGTGACTGATAAAAATGGATTTAATTAAAATCACTTCATTTGTATTAACAAATTAATATTAAAGCATTAATCATACATTATACAAGAGTATTTTGTAATACAATCTAAATAGTTGTTGCGATATGTAATTTTTTTATCCAAAATTTAGCTTCTATAAGCTTTAGAAATTTTTTAAAGAAATTATTGATGAATTTGGAGCTACGGGTACTAATGTTTTTATATTGTTGTAATGTTTGTATTCATTCCCAGTTAGTTTTTGTAAGTCAAAATTTTAAGGTGTTTCCATAATAAATTCTGTTATAGCTGAAATTTAGTGTTAGTCTGAATAATTTAATTTCTAAAATCTGTTTTGCATTGCCTGTCTTATAACATCTTTACTTGGAACAAAAACCATGTGGTTTAAAAGTGAGCTAGAAGCTTTCAACAATGAAGAAAATATTGCATTCGCTAATCCTAAAAATATATTAAACCTGTCAGCAAAATCAGCTGTCAATAATCCAAGTATTAGCATCATTAAAAATTCATCTTTGCTGCATTACATTTATTTTGGTCCAAGTAGTTAAGGATTTTTTTAAATTTCAAAAAACAGAAGTAAATGTTTTTTTAATATCACTTTATCTCTTTTGATTAATGGTGATACTGCACTAACTGATGAAACACATTGACAGATGTAAGGCCAGTATAAAAGTCGCAAGATCTATTATTTTTAAAATAAATGTTTGTATACAAGTAAATTGCAATAACACGATTTGTTTGGATTATGTTTATATACAAATTTGTCTGTTTTCATACATAACTGATGTGGTTGAAGTTAATTGTTCATATAAATCTTTATTTTTTTATTTCGGGCTGAAGTTCTTTTTTAAAGTTATCAATTTCCTTTTTTAATTCTTGATGCTCTATTAAAAAACAACGCTTAGCATTAAATTCAACATAATTTAATGGATCATTTTTTGAAAAAGTTGTATTATATTTACATTTAATAATATCAGTCTTTGAGCATTGTAGCCCAAGTTAAACGAAAAATATCAATTTTTAAACGATAATGTATTTTCAGGAAAATCGTCTGAACATATTTTCGATCTCTTGAAAATTCTATATGATATAAGTTCAGTATTTACATTTTTTTTCCATTATAAATCTCTATAACTTTAACCTTTGAAATAATGTTTACGTTTTTACTTCCATTTCTGCGCGCGCATAAATTTTATATCGTACTTTTTGTCAACAATGATTGAAATAATGACGTTGAAATAACCTTAAATAATCAGCGTTTAAACGGTAACGTTAATTTAACGTTGTGACATAGTTGAACAACGTTGAAACAACGCTTCAACCGAATTTCAACGTTAAAACAACGTAATAATGCCGGCTGGGGTGTCATGTAATAATGGAAGAGAATTGAATCTACTACTATAGTAGATTATTCCATCCGCCTGATTTATTCTATCCTACTCCGTAAAAAACGAGCCTCTAAAAGATTTTTACAATCAGTTTCCTGAAATGGCTACGACTAGCGTAATTTTTATTTTCAGTATTCGATATTGAATATATCTTAAATTCATTTACAACTGCTAAAAAAAACTTGAAAAAAGACTCAGAGAAGATTTTCAGCCATTTGTATAAGCTAAAAATTAATTTAGGCCAGCCATACAAATGAGTGGCCAAATATAATTTATTTAAAAACAGTAACTAAAATTTTTTTGATCTTCTCGTTATTTAAACAACAATATTTTAGCTTTTTAGTTAAAAAATTTTGATGACGCTAGGTTTCAGAACAATATTAAGACATTTTTATAAATGTGCAAAATTTAAGGATCCTTTTTTCAGGATTAATATTTTTTTATTTGCATTAGAAACGAAAAAAAAAAAATTCTTTTCAAAAAATACTGCAGGGTATAAAGAGGGTGCAAAAGTAATAATTTTTCAAAATTTTAAACTTGTTACACTTTTTTTTAAATAATATTATAAAATTTAATTTGCAAACTGGTGCGTAAAAAAAAAAAAAAAAAAAAAGTCCTCAAAACTCAAATTTTCCCAATTTGAATGTGTCAAATACCCGACTTGGCATCCCCTCCCCCTCGTAAAAATTGCCTCTGTTCACAAATCAGTGTTTTAATTTCAATTTTCCTCATTTGAATGTGTCAAATACCCGACTTGGCATCCCCTCCCCCTCGTAAAAATTGCCTCTGTTCACAAATCAGTGTTTTAATTTTATACATAATCTTTATTGGTATCTTCTAAATCGCTCAATAATAGTTCATTAATCGCTTATCACCTAAATAAACAACTCTTGTTGGTTCCGATAATTCTAGTTGTGATTGTTTTATTGATTCCCTATTGTCTACTTCTAAACCTAAAACCCTTTTCACTTTTTTTGGAAGCTTGAGCACAACTTTCTTCATTCGTCTAGATTTAAAGTATATAGAACCAAAAAGAAGATCGGATAATCTTTTCAAAAAAATTTACTTTTAATTTAATATATACAGTATCGGACAAAACAAGTGCAACCAAATAATGCTAATTTAGTTTCTTTATATAAAAGTGCTGCATTTTTTCAATTTAGAGAAATAACTATGTAACAGTTTAGATATTTTTCAAGTTTTATTCATCACAAAGTTCATTATTTGTAAGAAGAAGATATCTAAAAGGTTACTTGAACTAGACTTTAGGTCAATGGAAGCGTTAGATGGACAGATAAATCACCTTTTGTGCTACAATAAAAAGTGAAAAAGTAAACTTATCTAGTTCCAGGTAGATATTACTTTATATTAGATAGATAGATAAAAAAAAGATAATAACCCAAAAGATAAAACAAGGATAAAAAAAAAAGATATACATGAAATGCTGGAATATCTACACCTAAGTGGCCCGCACAAACAAATGATCATAATCCAAACGAAAATCTGTGGTCTATAATTCTCTTTTAAACTATAAATAATAATATTAAATGTAAACTGATAATTATAAACATTATTGTTAAAAATTCTAAAACATTTAATCTTAACCATACCTTGTGCTGATTTTTTTAAACCTTACAAAAGCAATGAATTGGCAATGATTATATAAATGAGCAATTTATCGATGCCTTAATATTTATATTATCGATGCCATAAAATTTATATTATCGGTGCCGTAAAGTTTATATTATCGATGCGATAAAATTTATATTATCAATGCCATAAAATTTATATTATCGATGACATAAAATTTATATTATCGATGCCTTAAAATTTTTATTATCGATGCCATAAAATTTATATTATCGATGCCGTAAAGTTTATATTATCGATGCCATAAAATTTATATTATCGATGCCATAAAATTTATATTATTGATGCCATAAAATTTATATTATCGATGCCATAAAATTTATATTATCGATGCCATAAAATTTATATTATCGATGCCATAAAATTCAACAGCAAGTTCACAAACAATCCGAACATTGCAATGCTCAGATTGTTTGTGAACTTGCTGTTGAATTTTATGGCATCGATAATATAAATTTTATGACAATGCAATGGCTAAAAAAAATTTCAGCCAATATATTGGCTGAAATTTTTAAAACAAACAAAAGTAACTTAGTCAAAAACCATATTTAAAAAAAGTTTTAAAGATATTTGAAATATAAAAAATTAAAAAGAAAAACTTGCAAATTTTGCATTGACTTTTTTTAAATCTTCCAAATCGAATCTAATTCTAGACCTTAAAATGACACAAAACCACACGTTTCATACACTGCATTAAGGTATAAAGGAATTAAGGTATTTAGAAGTGAATCAAGAATTGCACGTGCTTGATTCACTTCTTTATACCTTAATTCCATCATAATGTATGATAACTACGCTTGTTCTTCAGGTTCCCATTCCATCCACCTTTCAAACACTTGGTGCGTGTTTAGAATATTTCCCAAAGTTTTTTCTATGTAGGTATATTTGTACCAGTTACATAAAAATTCTAAATTTATTTGTAATGTATTTATTTTACGTAAAAATGTAAGTATAAATGTATTTGTAATGCAAATGCACCTATAAAAAATGTAAGTATATTTCCATCTGTTTAAGGGTAACGCTAGCATAACACGATCTTAAGTCAAGTAATAAAAATTATGAAATATATTACAATTGCTGTGTATGTGAGTAATTTACTAGTTAGCCTAAGGAAACATGAAGTATTAGGTTGACCGGAAAGTAATGTCGTATTTTTACGTCAAATTAAAACAAATAATTTTTTTATAATATTTATTTTTAATCAATGATATAATCACCCTCATTTTCCACAACATTTTTCCATCTAGCGGGCAAATTTTCTATACCAGATTGAAAAAAATGTATTGGTTTGTCATCAAAATATCTGGAGATGCCATTTTTTAAGCAGTACAAAGTTTGAAATTTTTTGTCACTCAGAAAGTGCTGTAAGGATCGGAACAAATGAAAATCTGAAGGGGCGATATCAGGTTAATATGGAGGGTGGGGCAGCACCTCCCATCCCAATTCATTAATTTTTTCTAGCGTCCGTCGTGCACAGTGTGGCCTTGCATTGTCATGTTGAAGAATGACACCTTTTCTGTTGACGATAGCCGGGTAATTCTCAACTAGAGTTTGGTTCACTCGATCCAATTTTTGACAATAAAGGTCCGCATTAACAGTTTGTCCAGGAATAAGCACTTCAAAGTGGACGATTCCGCGGATGCTCCACCAAACACACAGGAGCGCCTTCTTGGGGGTGTAATCCCGGCTTTGCAGTACTGCGTGCTGGTTCATTTGGGGAGAGCCACTGACTTTTGCGTTTTGGATTATCGTATAGGACCCATTTTTCATCTCCAGTGACCAAACGATCAAGAAACGGTTCTGCATGGTGCTGTTGAATCAATGCATTGCACGTGTTTGATCTGTTGGCTTTGTTTTGCACTGACAAGTTATAGGGGACCCAAACACCTTCTCTGCTGATTTTTCCTATCTGGTGTAAATGTTCTTGGATGGTCGACCAAGGTTGGTTAAGGGTGTTCGACAATTCTTCAATGGTTTGGCATGGATTTGCTTCAACTTCTGCCCTTAGAACGTTGTTGTCTAATGACATTGGTCTTCCTGGTCGATGGGCGTCAGAAAGATCAAAATTCCCAGATCTAAACTTGGAAAACCATCTTTGGCATTTGCAAACATCTAATGAACCTGGGTAAACATCACTAATGTTCTTAGTCACAACTGTAGCGTTATTACCCTTGCGAAATTCAAAAAGCATACAATGACGAATATGCACTTCCTGTATTTTGTATGCCATTTCACTCCAATTCGCAAAGAAAACTATTTAATTTTAAATAATTTAGAAGTAAACAAGTCACACTAATATAAAAATAACCTGTGCACGTGTTCGAGATACACAATAAACTGGCCAACGATTATCTAATGTCAACATGCGCAAAAACGACATTACTTTCCGGTCAACCTAATACAATAATAAAACGTTGGTTAATTTTTTATTTCACGTCTCCGAGAAACTTACATCGAATTCCCCACAAAGCAAATATGCCATTTCTATACCACAATGTAAATTTAAAATCTGCTCGTATAAACTTAATTTTTTTTTTTTTTCTTCAAACTGACATCATTTTGGTCTCAACATCCCCCTCCCCATTGTCAATTCTTTTCAAACTTTTCAGTAACCCCTCTTCCTATGTTTACTGACATCGTTTAAGGATGGCCTCTTGTTATAAAGTATTTAAAGCTATGTTTATATTTAGTATATGTTAGTTTAGCTTTAAACTATGTTTAAAACGCTTTTTACTTTAAACAACATTTCTACACTTTTTTTACAGTTTTAATGTGGTATTTCCAACTAACGTTATCATCGATGTCTAAAAAATTTACTTTTCTATTTGAATTTTGTAAAATAAGAAAATAAAAAAAGTTTATGAGGTTATTGGTTTTAAATCAATCAGAAGTTTTCTTAAATCTATTCGCTTTATAAAGTAGTGATGTGTTGATATTAGGAGGTTAAAAAAAGATTAGTATCGCTAGCAAACGTTTTGTTATAAAATTTATAGCTTTATAAAGATATAAAACGGAAAGAACATTATCACTATTTTTTTACAGTTCATTGTCACACTTGTATCGACCGTAAAAAAACTATTTACAGTTGCTTAAATAGTTTTTCAAGTAACATCATATTCTTTTTTTTTATTGTGTGTTATCGCTTTCGTAAATATCTAAAAACTTTTTGTATTTTTGAAATTTTTAAAAAATTAGAAGAAAGATTATTTATTATTATCTAAAGATTATAAGATTATCGTAGATAACTTTATTTTAGTTCTCTCCAAATTTTCAGAAAAAAAAAGCAAACAGAAATCAGTTGACAGTGTGTAACATCAGTTACACCTCCTTTTAATATAGGTGTTTGACTGTTTTAAGATAATCTGTAAAAATTTCCTTGCTTGACTGGACAATGTAAAACTTTCATAATTTCGTAGAAAATTGATTACGTTTTAATAAATATTATGATGACCTATTGTCATATATAAGTATACTTATATATGACATGTTAAACTTAATTATTTCAAATTTATCAAGATTTTATTAACTCTAGCAAGAGTTGATATAAGCAATCTTGATAAATTTGAGTAATACAGCTTTCATGAAGTCTTCTGTTTTTTAATTTATTTTTTTTTAGTATATGGTCGTATATTTGGTATTATACAACTTTTTGCAACAGATAATCACTTAGCATCTGTAAGGCATACTACCAATACAGTAGCGGATTAAGACTTGTTGGAGCCCAGGGCTATTTTTGCTTTTGAAGAACCAGAGCCTAAAAATGACTTTAAAAAAAAAAGTCCTTTAAAGTCCTCTATAACTTTTAGGGGACCCTAAATTTGCGGGGCCCGGGGCTATAGTCCCCCCATGATCCGGTACTGTATCAATATGTGCAGCCATAGCGCAGTGGTTAGCGCGCTTGCCTCGGAAGCTAGAGATCCGTGATTCAACGCAACCTCTAGGCAAGTTTTATCACATTTGTAAGGAAGGGGGTGTGAACTTCCTTTCAAATGCTTTTCCGCGGTGCTTTGTGATAAGACCGTAAGGACTTCTTTGGGCACCTAAAATATATTAGTTTTGTTAATAAAGTAACTTCCAGAGTTTCAACCATTTAGACGTGTTAAAAGTAACTTGATATTTTTTTATACACTACTATAAAAAAAATTTTGAATAATTCTTTTTATAATAGTGTCAGCATATTCAACTAATGTGTGAAAATTTACACTAGTGTGTATATATATATATATATATATATATATATATATATATATATATATATATATATATATATCAAAATACGTCTGGGATTTCAAAAACAATTTTAACAAAACCATTATATTAACATGGTCTATTCTGAAGTCTGAATACTCAAATATTTCCAAAAAATGCCCACATGTCTATATAAGAAATTTGCTATTTTATCGTATCCAAAACCTGAGGAACTGTTTAACAAAAGATCCAAAATAATATCGACGTGCCGCCACGAAAATAAATTCTTATTAAAAAATTACAAAGCTCAATACAAACCTAACTAATAACTAACAATAACTATATTATTCTATTACCATTTATATAATATTACCATTTGACTGAAAATCTAATTGTTTACAAATATCAACAATTTGAATATAAATTTAACAATCGTTATTCGATCCCTAGCGGATTATAAAATGTGCTTCAAAGCAAACACATAAAGTCATTTGTTATTTTTTAAAATACAATTGTCATTATTATCGAAGATCTCTTCAACAACTCATGGAAAGATAATGAGTGATTGAATTTATATTATAGATATAGAATAAAATTTTGATTAGTTTGCTTATTATTTGATGAGGTATCAACTGTTTTATAATATAACTTGCCGAGATCTACTACTATATGAGATCTACTACTATATATTTAACTAGAAAAAAATCAATAGTGTTTACACATTTTTATGTTACTTTAGAGGAAGGAGGGCGAGGGGTGAATACAAAAACTGACATGATATATAAGGGTGTGGGGGGTTGGCCAAAAATTGACAGTTTGACAAAGGGAGAAGGGGGTCGAAAAATTGAGAAAAATCACTGGCATCATTTATGGACAGCTCCCAAGCATATTCACTGCGTGGACGACGTCAAAAACTGGAGGTGAGTTTTTTTAGGCATCCTAAAATCTTATTTTCAATAAATAGTTATTGAATGATAAAAATGTATAAAAACATATTTAAATAAATGGTACTACTTTTTGCATTTTTTAATTAACCATATATGTATTTATTATTATCAATAATCTGAAAAGTCCAATAAAAAAAAAAAAAAAAAAAAAATTTAAACAACAAAAAAAAAATACATCCACTTTCTGGAGAGTTGTAAAGTTTAAAAAAGTAACGATAAAAATAAACATATTACATCTCTAAGAGCATTATAAACACTCTTTACAATATATTGGACACAGCCAAAAATTATAAGAAGTCAATGAATATCATTACATCTTTGAAGTTACGTTTTAAAAGATGAAGATATAATAAACTTTACATGTATATGTATATAATGAGATCATTATGAATGCACCATTATTTAAAATCCTATCGACTGTGACTTTTAAAGTTTTTTAATTCAAATCGGAATTATTTAATAAATTTATTCTAAAGATACAAAATTAATTTATGTAGTACCTACTCCTTAATTCTAAAAAGCAGGCAAGTAGAACGAAAAAAATAAATGCAAAAAACAATAATCTATAAAACGCGGATATCTTCCTTGTTTTTTTGCATGACATAAATCAAACACTCTTAATATAAAGATTCTTTCAAATATGGTATAAAAAGGTAATAACTAAGTTTATCAAGACACATGAAGATGCTTCGAGAAACATCAAGGCGTTTCAAGATATAAGATATTAAAAATATTATTTTTTTGTCTTGGCAGCAGTGTAATCAATACTTTCAACTTCACCAACACGATTCAATACATCAGGAGCAGCATTGCATTGAAAACCCAACAAATTAGGATCAACTTTTTGCATCTTTTTTTTTTTCTTCGACTTTTTATCGTCAAAATCAGCTTGGTCTTCGTTGTTACTTTGCGTTTGATTTAATTGTAAAGGAACCGTTGGCTAAAAAGTGAATGAAAACAAAAAAAACTGAATAATTTAATACAACATATAAAAAAAAAAAAAAAAAAAAAAAGGGTTAAGGCAAATATAACAGAAATACAAATCTGAAACGCACGGAAAAATCAAACACATAAATTAAGGTGACAAAAAATCACACTAAATCAAAACTATGTAAAAAAAAACCAAACTTTACTGGAATACTATATTGGTGTGTGGACCAGGCTACCTCATTGACTCTAAAAGCACTGTATACTGCATGTATGTACATGATCGGGGTTTGAACAAACAATATAGATAATACATTCATTGTTAAAATTAAAAAAAAATAAATGAGTGCCTTTATCGCATTAGAATAAAGGTTTTTAATTACAGTAGCTAAAAAACTTTTAATTGAACAGTGAAATCCTCGATAATATGAAATTATACGTATATTTTATAAAATAATTTCAATCATATATACCTGTTGGTTAGCTTGTCAAAAAACCAACAAAAAACCAAACTTATTAAAACCAAGAACTTAGACAAAAAAAACTTTATTGCCAA